CAGGAGATCCAAGGCACAGGGAATAGGGAAAGGCAGATACCAAATCAAATCACAGAAGAGTTACAATCTGTTGGCACAGCAGGGTAGCTATTGACAACAAAGGACAACACAAGCAGAGGAAGTAACTACAGAGGACTTGGAAAGTTTCAATCACAAGCAAGTGCTAACTGTCAGAGGTGATGACAATGTGGACTCTGACACATCGCGATGTATGTGGATGTCAGGACATCACTTGGTACCCCATAACAGTGCCATTTGTACATGGCACTGAGAAACTTAAGACACAGGTGAGCATCAGCCTCACGGTAAAGATGCTACAGTGGTCAGAGGCTCACAACCCACTTCAAGTGCCTAGGTTCAAGTCCCAACCCGCCCTGGAGCTCAGCTTTCTGGGAGCGGCCAATGATGGCTCAAGGATGCAGGTCCCCGACACCCCAGGTGGGAGACACGGGTTGAGTTCTGGCTTCCTGGCTTCAGCCAAGCCCTGCCTTGACTACTGAGGGCAAGATGGAGCAAACAAGTACCTGGGGGTTCTTTGTTTCTTTCAAATAAATGAATAATTTGCAAACCAAAAACATACGCATCAAGGGCACTGCTATATACACTAACATACATCTGATCTCTCCCTCAGACTTCTGCTGATGGAGGGTCTTGCCTCGATGCTGACGACTGCTACAGTTGGGGGCAGCTGCAGAACTGTCTTAAAACAGCACAACAATGAGATCAGCCACGTGAATGGATTCTCCATTTGATGAAGACTTCTCCACAGCATGCAGTCCTGTTTCCCAGCATATCAACCATAGCACTTCTTTCAAGACTGAAATCAGTCCTCTTGAATCACACTAACTCTGCTTTACTACGTGTTATGTGACCATCTGAATCCATTGTCATTTTAACAAACTACAGAGCTCCACTATTTAATTCCCTTGAAGTCATTTATGATCTGGAACCAATTTTTATCAAACTGCTATTAACATTATTTGGGCCTGGACTCAGGAATCCGAAATAATTTCAGCGACATCCAAAATGGTAAACCCTTTCGCAAGATTTGGTCATCTACTTTGCCCAGCAGAAGGAATCACTAGTTGAAAGCCATAAAATGACTCTGGAGTTGAAATCACTCCTTGATGTCTGGGTTATCACATGGATGTCATCTTAGAAGGCATGAAAGCAGCATTCATTCCACCGTGCAAGCCCCACCTGGGCCCTGGCGTGATCAGGTACAATAGGAAAAGCACCTTTTGCTGCTCAGCAGGTTTCAACTATGTTGTAAATAGACAATGCCCTCTGTTAGCCAAGCTTTGGTCCAGGCCGAGTCGATTTAGAACAACTCCTAAGCATGTTAGGATTTTTAGAACTGATTTCAACTAAAGCCCAGGTGTCCTGGCCTCCCACAGCGGTCACCATGACCCTGAGAGCACTGAGGCCAGCTGTTACCTTCTTCCCTGTTAGCAAAGCCCCGGATGGCATGTTCCATCCACAGATTAAGACACCCATGAATATCCGTTCAGAGGGCCACCTCCAGACAAACCAGCTACATCTTCATTTGTTTCAGCTCCACACCAACCCTGGTGGCATCCCCTTGCACTGTTTAAGAAGGCCAAGTCCCTTATGCCAATTACGTTAAGCAGAACTTAAGCAAAAACAAACGAAATCAAACCAAACTCAATTTACAAATTCAGCCATAACCCAAACCACACTCTGAGAACTCCAGCCAGCAGTATTATCAGACAGCATTTATTGAAAAAGAGGCGACATGGAGAAATAACTTCATTGGCTACAGCTGTCAATAATTTCTCAATGCATTAGCTGGCTACCAGGCCACCTGCAACTCACCTAAGCCCAGTGACTGGGATTCAACTCTACAACGGTTTGGTTGAGTCCAGTTCAGGCACCCAGTCCAAACCCCTGGCACTTCAGCCCAAATCTATCACTGAGTAAAAAGAAACTCATCAATCCCTAGGGTATCAGCACAGCTCTCCATCACCTTCACCCTGGATTTCAGTCTCAATAAGGCACCCACAGATTCCGGTGTCCCACAACAGTCTCATGTTTGAGTCCTTACATCAGCCAAACAGTGACTGTTCCGCGGAAGGCAAGTGGCCGCAGGTAGACACGGAAGAGGTTCAATGTCAGAGTGCAGCACACCGGAGATAGACTATCACAGCTGCTGGGATGATTCTAGAACTTTGCATCCTCTTCCTCAGTGTATCCACAAACCAACCATAACAAATCAAGTAACAAAATTACACCTGGATAATCCCTTCCTGTTCAGCTACTAAGTAATCTAAGACACCTTAACCAGGTTCAATTTCAAACAGGGAAGGAGAGTAAGTGTCTAGTCTGGTTACAACATTGTCCTGCTAAATGGAAAAGGAGGGCCTACACAAGGAAAAAGAAATTTCCCCACATTCAGACAGCCCTCCATCTTGGACGCTTCCTCGGCCTGGCAACCAGCGGCTCTGGACAACATTCTATGTTCCCCTTCATGCCCCGTGCACTCATATCAAGGGAGGTTAAAACAAAACCGACCCTGACTCACCTGCACCATGATGGCCCGGAATGACAACTGGAGCTCGAGCTTAAAGAATAACATCTACTGAGCTGGACCAACGTGGAAGAAGCCAAGTGGACGCCAAGAGGCCCGACTTGAATCTTTCTGCAGACAGGGGGACGGCCCTACCGTCACAGCTTTCTTTACTTCAGATAAATTTCAAATTATCTAAATGTCGGCAGTCTCCCAGTGCAGCCTGGATTCTTTGAACCAAATAACTGAGTTCAGGGTGGACTGAAACACCTTCCTGATGGCTCTGAGCTTAAGGTCTTATCAAAGCCTAAAGGGGGCGAAGGAAGCCGACCCCCACTGAGCCCAGGGACTCACCATTTATGAAACACACTTGCTGCTTCTTGGCAGTCTCTTACAAACCTCTCCATGCTAACTTAGAAAAATGTAGCCTGTATCTGGTTCCTGTTGAAGGTTTTACACCCTCCTTTGGTAATATGCCTCACCAGTAACCAATTTTATCCAAATTAAATTTTCCTCTTTATAGTCATTGCAATTCTAAATTGTCACTGGTAACGTTGAGCAACTTGTTTAAAAATACTAAGAGTACTGGGAATTTTTTTTTTTTTCACGAAACTGGCAGCAAAACCAAACAGAGGAGCCCCAGAGCACAGACCCAGGCCAGCTTCCTGCACGCCACACAGCCACCACGGACCACAGCACAAACCGACCCTGGCCCCGACCCCCACCACGGGCTCTTGAGCAGAGCAGTCTAACCGTGCCTGGAGCTGGAGAGCGGGTATTCCAGGCGCCCGACACCCAGCCCAACACACGGTTCCCTGTCTTCTGGTCACTGCACTTACACACCGACCCCAGGCTGGGCTTGTCTGGTCTAACCCCAATGTGGCACCTGACACCTTCGAACAGAACCTGGTTCTGTTGCCGCTGAACCCCTTCCAGCTTCTGGCCAGCCCTGCAGAACTCAAATCCAAGCCCCCAAACTTGCTCAAACAGACTCGGCACAAAAACCCAAATTGCAGAAGCTTTCAGAATCCAAGAGAGAAGCCACCCGCCCGCAGGCCAGAGAGCATAGCGGACCGGTGGGGGCTCCCGGCCGGGTTACCTGACATCCCGTCGCCCAGAGAGCACCTTGCGGACCAACCTAGAACTGTTGCCAAGTGGAAAACACCACAGCCCAAGGAAGTCCAGTTTCCTTGAGCAAAGGAAAACAAGACCAAATCACGGAGGAGCTGAGGAGCTCCAGCCACGGGGCTTATCACGCAGTCGTTACAAAAAACCAGAGCGAGAGGCCCAAAGAGCAACTTAATTGGTTAGGGTCCAATCAACCCGTCAAGTGCGCACAGCCTTGCTCGGTTGGCAGGATACTGGCTCTCCCACAGCCAACCAGAGCTCAGTTACTCTGATTAGACCCATATTGACTGGGCCTGTGGGGCCCAGCTGGAATCTATGTCCTCTGGCGAATGCTAGAGAGAGAGAGAGAGAGAGAGAGAGAGAGACAGTGAGTGAGTGAGTGTGTGTGTGTGTGTTTGTGTGTGTGCACTAGACATAGCTTCTTCCTTCTAACCTCATCACCTGCTGGCTTCCATCGTTTCCTCTGCAGCCTCTTCACAAGACAGAGCGGGTTCCCGGCCGAGGGGAATGCAGCCAGCCGCGGGCTTGCTGTTGGCAGGAAGGCTGTCTTGCTGAGTGTGTGTGTGTGTGTTCGCTAGAGTGGCATTGCAGGTTTCCTCTGCTTGGCACCAAAGACCGATCCCCCTACTGGCACGTGCTTCTCACCGAGCTGAACCTCTGCCTGCGTTTGTTTTAAAGCGAGAAACGGGTGTGACTCTTCCTTTGGGTTATTAATTGGCCTGATTTCAGCCTCTCAGGAAGTCAGGTGGCCCTAGCAAAGGGAGATAGCTAGGTCGTGGCCAGCAACCGAAGCTCATACAGAAGCTATCAGTAAAGTCTGTCGTGACCAGGACAGTTAGTGGCACCCTTAGACAATTACAACACTAACGTCAAAGGTTGTGGGTTACCATAACCAGCATGTCAGTAGCAGAAGAGTCTGAAATACTGTGAAAACTGCTAAAATGCAACACAAAGTAAGCACAAAACTGTTAGGAAAAAAATGTTGCCAGCGTTCAGTTTCTGTGAAGCACAACAGAACAAGAGGCAATAACATGAGGCAGGCCTGCAGAGACTCCCAACACCTGAGTCCAGAGTCAAGAGACCCGAAGATTTCAACGGACAATGAAAGCAACAAACGGAAACTTTTTTGAATACTCTGGTTTCTCTTCAGATCGTATAAATCTTTCGCCTTTTACTAAAGATTTAAAGAGGTTATGATACCAAAATGCGTATCAGGGCACAGCTCCCTCATGTGGTCGCACATGAGATAGCACCACCAACAGCCCCCTTCATCCAAACCCCGCTCCCTTCCCCACTCCCTCCCCGCCAAAATAAAGGGAAAAAAAAAAACCAGAATCACTCTTACCCGAGAGAGCAGTCTCATCTCCCGTTTCAATCTCTCTGCTTCAGGAAAGCACTCCTCTAATAAAGAGAGTTCTTCCAGTTCTTCCGTTCTCCTTTGTAGATCCTGTTACATAAGGATAGATGCATTGATCTGCTCCACTCCATGCTTCATCAAGAAAACTATTTCCTTGTTGAAGGAAAGGAGCTAGCTGAAGCAGTGACAATTACGGATACTAAATCTTAATGTTCACTATTTCTTTTTAAAAATATTCTGTGTCGGGCCCGGCGGCGGCATAGCCTAGCAGCTAAAGTCCTCGCCTTGAACGCACCAGGATCCCATATGGGCACCGGTTCTAATCCCGGCAGCTCCACTTCCCATCCAGCTCCCTGCTTGTGGCCTGGGAAAGCAGTCAAGGATGGCCCAAAGCTTTGGGAGCCTGCACCCGTGTGGGAGACCCGGAAGAGGTTCCTGGTTCCCGGCTTCGGATCAGCACAGCACCAGCTGCTGTGCTCACTTGGGGAGTGAATCATCGGACAGAAGATTTTCGTCTCTGTCTCTCCTCCTCTCTGTATATCTGACATGTAATAAAAAATAAGTAAATCTTTAAAAAAATAAAATAAAAATAAAATATTCTGTGTCAACAAAGTATGCAAACAACATACACTGGGTTTTTGTTTTACCGGAAGGCAAAGTTAGAGAGAGGAGGCATCCAGACAGACAGAGACAGAGAGAGAGAGAGAGAGAGAGAGACACACACACACGTGTCTCCCATCCACCTGCTAACTGCCTAAATGGCTGCAGTGCCTGGGACCAAGCCAGGGTGAAGCCAGGAACCTGGAGTGCCTGGCAAGTCCTCCCTACAGGTACAGGGGCACCAGAACCTGGGCCACCTCCCACTGCGTCTCCAGGCACAGCAGCAGGAAGAAGGATCAAAGTGCAGCAGCCAGTACCGGAACTCCTGGCCACAGGGCATGTTGCCATGCAAGCAGTGGCTTAACCTGCTGTACAACAATAGCGGGCCAAACACGTCTTGACAAGTAAACAATCAGTACTATAAACGGTTCAACTATTTGATTATTCTGGCAGATATTCTCTCAAAAAAAAAAAAAAAAGAATGTATCACTTCCAAGATACAACTCAAAATATGTCTTTACCAATGATAAAATTGAAGCTTTCAGGTAAGTTCAAGTTATAGAAAACATCTGTCTGCCACGATGAGTTTCCCAATCCTGAAGGAATTTCTGATTTGATTAGCGATCACACTGCCGTCTACGGTTTTTCTGATGACGAGCAGTGAGCTGCATCAGCTGCTCTGAGTAAATGATTTAGGAACCAAATTTTTCCAGACAAGCCATGCAAAATATTGCAAAAATCATGCATGGATACAACTTATCTTCAGAGTAAAGACAAGGCTAACGCTTTTAACATAACAAGGAATGGGGTCTTGACGCCGTGGCATAGCAGGCTGAGGTCCCATATGCGTATCAGTTCAGTCCCGGCTGCTCCAATCCAGCTCCCTGCTTATGACTTGCTAAGTTTTTGTATAGTATCATAGAACATCCACAATTATCATCAATCATCAAGTGCCATGATCCTCCCTATAGAACACCGTAACGGTAACACTGAAACAAACAGTACAACACTGAAATGTTTCCAGTATTTAAAACTTGAGATTTGGGCCCGGCGCGGTGGCGCAGTGGTTAAGGTCCTTGCCTTGCACGCCCGGGATCCCATATGGGCGCCGGTTCTAATCCCGGCAGCCCTGCTTCCCTTCCAGCTCCCTGCCTGTGGCCCGGGAAAGCAGTCGAGGACAGCCCAAAGCTTTGGGACCCTGCACCTGCGTGGGAGACCCAGAAGAGGCTCCTGGCTTTGCGCTCACTTGGGGAGTGAATCATTGGATGGAAGATCTTCCTCTCTGTCTCTCCTCTCTGTATATCCGCCTTTCCAATAAAAAAATAATAATAAAAATTAAAAAAATAAAAAATAAAACTTGAGCTTCAATGGGATAAGGGTTATCAAAATATTCCCCTCCTCCTTTTTTTTTTAACCATCTGTGTATCTGTGTGAAGCCACAGTATACATTTCAAACACATTTGCACTTCACGGAATACTGGAATTGATATGGAATTCAACTGTCTTAAGTCAAATAGTACGTACATTTTTTAAAAACATAAGCTATCATTAATATTCCTAATTTTAAAAAAGTCTTAAATGCTTCTTTCTAGTGTTCATTAAAGCTTAGTGGCATCAATGTTTATTTCATGTCTTAGTAAGTGTTTTAAAGCCTATCATTTTTTAAAAAAGATTTATTTTTATTGTTTTTTCATTGGAAAGGCGGATATACAGAGAGGAGAGACAGAGAGGAAGATCTTCCGTCCGATGATTCACTCCCCAAGTGAGCGCAACGGGCTGATACTATGCCGATCCGAAGCCAGGAGCCTCTTCCCGGTCTCCCACGTGGGTGCAGGTTCCCAAAGCTTTGGGCCGTCCTCGACTGCTTTCCCGGGCCACAGGCAGGGAGCTGGAAGGGAAGCAGGGCTGCAGGGATTAGAACCGGCGCCCATATGGGATCCCGGGCGTGCAAGGCGAGGACCTTTAACCACTTGCGCCACCGCGCCGGGCCCAAAGCCTATCATTTTTAATTGCTAACATGGTAAATACTGATAAATGTGACATAAGCAAAAAATTCCTGAGGGTTTACATTTTTAGGACTTATTTATTTAAAAGGCTGGGTTACATAGAGAAAAGATCTTTTCAGCTGCTGGTTCACTCCCCAAATGCCAGCAACAGCCGGAGCTGTGCCAGGTGGAAGCCAGTAACCCGGCATTCCACCCGGATCCCCTGTGTTTTGACTATCTTCCACTACTTTCCTGGGCACCTCAACATGCACCAGGATCAGAAGCAGAGCATCTGGGACCCAACCAGCTCTCATAGGGATCCTGGTGTCACAGACAATAGCTTAACCTGCTATTCTACAATCCCCACCCATGATGTCTTCAAATTTTAATATTGTAATGAGTTTTGTCCTGTGAACCAAACATTTTTGAGTCAATAATCTGAAACTCTGGTTTTTAAAAAAAAAAATGGACTGGGATTATTTTACATTCTGCCTTCCAAATAAAATGAAAGTGCATTATCAATGCGTACTTACTTTTTCCTCAAGTCGACGCCATTTCTCCTTCTCAATTCGCTGTATTTCAAGTCTTTCCTGTTCTTCTCTCTCACGTCTCAGACGGGCTTCCTCTAAAAAAAAACAGACGAGAGAAATTCTCAATGGTTAAGGCACTACGTCTTCAAATATTAAAATTATCTCCCCATGCTTTTAAGGTGTAGTTCTGGCGGGATAGTTTGTGGACGTCATCAGCTTAGTAATGTGGTGGAAATGCACAGCGGGCTGACGCTGTGATACAGCGGGTGGAACTGCAGCCTAGGGCACCCACATCCCATCTGGGCCCCAGTTCAAGTCCCGCCTGCTCCAGGAGGCCATGTGAGGAGTGAACCAGTAGTAGATGGAGGACATCTCTCCCTGTATCTCTCTATGACTCATCTTTCAAATAAATGAAAAATAAACAAAAGAGTGGTCACTTTTCCTTCCCGTAAAAAAAAGCAAGACATCCAAATTTTAACTTTAAAAACGGTCCCATGGTGCCATTTTTCCTCTCCAGAAAGCTTATTATGATCCAAGAATGACTTTAATTAATAAAATATGATATCTTTGCCATGGCTAACTATAGGGAAGTCACGTCTTCCAATAATTTCCATAACCTGGTTCAATTATATCATTAGAGGCAGCTACCATACATTTAACCTAATGAAACGTTGTTACATGTCCTGATATTATATTCTAATTGCTAATCCCTAAAAAAGATTTATATATGGCTACGCATTTTTTAAAAAAATGGAATTTGAAAGAAAATTTTTCAAGAACCTAAACCTGAATCTAAAGATATCCTTTATGTTATTAGCTAAAACCCATATGGAATAAAATTCAGATTTTTAAAATCATTTTTTGCTATGTTTAACCAATATTTTTATTAGTGCTGAATTGATTTTTACAAACAAGTGCAACTGATATTTTAACTGGTAAATAGATTTTACTGAGTTGTACAAAATCAAGGTGCATATATTTCTTTTTAAAAGAGATTTATTTTGTTCAAAGGGCAGATCAGATTTACAGAGAGAAGCAAAGACCATCCGCTGGTTCACTCCTCATATGGCCACAGCGGCCAGAGCTGAGCCGATCTGGAGCCAGGAGCCAGAAACTCTTCCTGGGTCTCCCATGTGAGGGCAGGGTCCCTAGGTGTTTGGCCCATCTCTGTGCTTTCCCAGGTCAGAAGGAGGGACTTGGATGGGAAGAGGAGCAGCCGGGACACAAACCAGCACTCTTATGGAATGCCTCACTTGACAGTGGAAGATGAGCCAACTGAGCCATCACGCCAATCCTGGTGTGTATTTCTTGCCAGTGTATATTTCTCATATTCCATGGGTTTGCATTTCAGCACTCTGCTACTCAACCAGTGGCCCTAATTTCATCCACAAATAAAAATACTTCAAGATAGAGGCCAGAATCATCAAATAAAAACACAAGATGCTCAGTTGAGTATAAATTTCAAATAAAGAACATTATAACCAAATACTGCATGGGATGTATTATCCCAAATTAGCAATGGTTTGTCTGAAACCCGTATTTATCTGAGTGCCTGTGTGTTTTGTGTGACAACCAACCTTGCTTCAAGGTATAGCTAAATGGGATTGGTGTGTCCTAACAGATCTTTTGGGTATCCTTGTGAACAGTAATTATGTATTAGTTCTAAAATCAAAGAACTTGAGGGCAAAAAAAAAAAAAATCACCTGGTTTCCAAAACTACCAATTTATGGTTAACAGTACCTGTTTACAAAGACAGTCCGTGTCTTACCCTCCTCTTTCAAGCGTCTCTCCTCCTCCTCCTGCAGCTGCCTCAGTCGTTCAGCCTTGCTGATTTTCTTTTTCTTATTGCCAGCCTTAACAAAAGCCACAATCCAGGAGGGGCGAATTAACATGTACCCACGCCACTTAGAAACACAGCTCCTCAAACAGCAATTACAAAGAGCACCTTTGCTTCCACACAACGAACCGTTCATGCCTTCGCTCAACAAAGAACACCGCCTCTTACTGCAGAGCCTTGACTCAGGCACGGAAAGGCAAAGCTCCAAGCAAATAACTAAACATGGACACAAAGTTGTTCATGGGCAGGGGTGACTGTGATAAGCATAGGCAGTTTACTTAATCCCCTCATCCCTCATCTCCACATTTTCAAATGGTGCTAAAACAAAACAAAAACCAAAAAAAAACCTTATCCCGTGTCATAAAGTAAAAAAGAATTTGAAAACTTTGCATCTACAAAAATGGAAAGCATTTTCATGGCTAACAGGCATACATAGTTATTCTGCAAGTTTATTGCAGCACGGAGAACCGGGATCCAGGAACAGGTATATGGAGATCATTTTTAAGGTTGCAGTATTTGAGGAGATGACTGAGCGGGCTGTACATCGCGTGGCTGCAGAGATGAGATGCCGTCACGTCCCTGTCTTCCAGGCTCTTCCATGTAATTTAGATTCCTCTCCCTGCTTTGACGAGAGCATATCAGCCCCTTGGTAAAATCAGTGCCTGAATTGAGAAGTGGGGCAGCTGGTTCCCAAAAGGTCCCCGTCACCCAGACTAACAAGGTAATGCATTACCCTACAGATAAGCTCTTGATATTTCGCCTTATCTGAACGGCTTCTTTTTCCAAGAACCTCAAGCAAAAAAGTAGCTACTGCCTACACACAGCCCCAGACTGACTGGAGCCCCATCTGCTACGATGACAATCCCCTAACGGCTATGAGATTGCTGACCAACCAGCAGAGGGCCAGGAGCACTTTGGGCCAGCCAGGAACTGGGGACAGGAGTGAGCACGCCTCTCTGTCCCAATTAACCTTCACCTCTAACTCCGTGGTGACACACGAGTTAAGACACAGCTGCCCGGCTCCTTGCTCTGTGCTTTCCAACAAGCATTGCCTTTCCTTGCCACCTCCATGTTAGCAACCGGCTCTGTCATCAAGTGTGCTGCTGTCCCAATCCTGGAGGCCCATGGCATGTCTTCCACCCAGGTCTGGAGACCCTTCTGCACCCAAATCTTATTTATTTGATAAAGAAAGAGCATTGCATGTAAAACTTTGTCCTCAAGCAGACCGAGTGCATCACTTTGGTATGGAAAAGGGAAGCGCACAGGATAGGAAACAAATTCAGTGGGCCCCTGGACACATTCCAAGAAGAAAGAGAACAGGAAAGAGACTGGAGCCCATGCTAGAATCTGGAAGTTATTGTCAGAGAAATGGAAAATTCCAAAGTTTTTAAGAAGGGCTGTGGCCATTAAGAATATAATTTGGGGGCTAGTACCATGGCATTGTACATTAAGCCTCCACCTGTGGCACCAGCATCCCATATGGGCACTGGTTCAAGTCCTGACTGTGTCACTTCTGATCTAGCTCCTTGTTAATGGTCTGGGGAAGCAGGGGTAAGATGGTCCAAGCCCTTGGGCCCCTGTCCCTGTACTCAAGCCCAGCTCCAGCCTCTGTAACCCTTGGGGAGTGAACCAGCACAAGGACCATCTCTTCCTGTCTCTGCCTTCTCTAACTCAGCCTTTAAAATAGATAAACAAACCTTTAAAAAAAAAAAAAAGAATGCAAAATCAGATTTCTGAATGCAAATAGCTTGGCAACTAATTTTTAAATTTTTCTTAATTTTACTTTTGATGATGTTTACACAGTTGGTTAGGGTGGAAAGGGTCAAGGACCAGGGCAAAGCGGGTGAAATCACTATTTCCACATCTCCCTTATCTTTTCCTATATCGGGGGAAGGGGGATGGGGAAAAAGGGTATTGCAGACTAGACTGAATTAACATTTTAACATAGCACAAAAACAAAAGTATGAGCTAACCCGCTTAAAGTCATATTAACTTAGGGTGCACTTTTAAGCATAAAAACAAAACAAAACAAAAGATCCCTGCTTCATTATTCCTAGATTGAATAAAAATATCTAGATACAAGTAAAAACCAAAGGCTATCGTAAAATCTTCCTAAATCTAGAAAGTTCTTTGTCAAACTAGAAACAGGTCCTGTTACTGTAAAAAGCTATTCTTTCAATCGAATCAAATCAATGTTTATAAAAGTCCAGTAAAAACTGTAGAAACTATAATGAAACGAACTGGAACAATACTTTTAAATCCTATCCACACAATATAAATGTTTCAAGCACTTTGGGAAAAACAATTTCTACGTACCTTTTTTGCTTTGGCACCCTAGAAGTTGAAGACAAAGGTATTGATAAGTTTTTTAGAAGAACTTAGATAAGGTTAATGAAAATATGTCATCATTGCATAACATGTTAAAATGAACAGAATCTGGGTAAAATGCACAGGAAATGTTCTGTACTTCTCCATGGATCTCACATTCTTCCAGGGCTGGTGTTCGTCACAGTCCTTTACCACATCTCTTGAGATGTTTTTAGGGTTCGAATCCCTGCTCTGCTTCCAGTCCCAACTTCCTGCTACCGCCCCCCCTGCCCCGCCCTTGGAGGCTGCAGGTCATGGCTCACGGCTTGAGTCCCGCCACCCATTTGGCAGACCTGGGTGGATTCCCTGACTCACAGTTTGGCCCAGGCTCAGGTGTTGTGAGCATCTGGGGAAGGGAGGGAACCCAGAGAGGGACAGGTTTGTCTCTGCCTTCTTTTATAAGTAAATTCTATAGAATTCCTCATGGCTATCAATGTGCATGTTTATTGAAAAACCCTGGCATTAAACAGAATACTAGTCAAGAAAATACTAGCTGAAAGGGTTTCAAGGAACAATAAATAGCCACTTATTCATACTAATGTCAACTTTACAAGTGTGGGAACAGTTTCACAAAGAAATATCTTTCCTATAAAATTAGACTGATTTTTACTGGAGGGGAATTACTTACATAAAGTATGACAAAACAACTATTCTGCCTCATCCATCATTTATTCTAGAAAGCAGAGAATTTAAATATAGGTGTATCACTGCACTTTTCATTATACGTTTTATTGGAAGGGCAGAGAGAGTGAAAGAAATTTCTCAACTGCAGACCCAACTTCAAAATGACCGCAAGAGTCGTTCTGGCCAGGCCAAAGCCAGGAGCCAGCAGCTCAGTGTAAGTCTTCAGCGTACATGTCAGGGGCCCAGCTACTAGAGGCCTGACCTGCTGCCTCCCAGGCGGCAGCAGCAGGAAGCCGGAATGAATGCTGCATGTGGGTCTGGAACCCAGACGCTGTAACACACATCACAGGTGTAGCACGTGACAGCCCAACCACCACATCAAAGGCGGAGCCCCGTGAGTATTTCTCAATAACATTACTTATAACTTCCTGATGGTGGCTACATGGTCATCAACTGGTAGGAAATCATGTGACTGTACATTTCTGAAAGCTACACATGGGAAATACTGGTTTAAACTAGATAACCATCACTGTAACATCAGATGGTATCATTTTGAAAAGTAAGGATAGGTCACTAATTCATTCTGCAGCTACTTGGTCATGATTTCTACACAAGGCACCCTGAAGTGTTAGAGATAAGAGGAATGACACAAATTACTCTCTTAACTTTTACAAATGGGTTTCCTTCCATTTTCTATTAATACTCATCAACATACTTGTATTTTAAAATCAGTTGCAGAGTATGTAAAGAGCACAGCCTGGCCCTCCTGTCCAGTGGACACGCATTTTTGCAACTGAATCCACTCACTTGTTTTATCTGAATGGCACACCGACAGTGGAGAAGAGACACAAAGGGGCATAAACATTGCGTTGAAGGGGAACTCAGCAGCTGGAACGTCCTTTGGGTCCACAGAACAGACATGGGGTCGTTGACGATTCTCCATGAGATCAAAAGAAAAGTCTGTTTCCAGTCTTCCTTCCCACAGTAGGAGTGTAATCACCAGTGGACAGGGAATTTCAGTAAGACCAAAGGCAACACTGTTTATTGGAACAACTTAGCCCGGGGACTTCAACTGTGGTCTAGATATAGACCTAAGATTTATGTCCTAGATTCCTACCTCCCACCTAAAAAAACACAGACACCACCAACACGGCCTACAAAGTGATAAGGCTTATTTAGAAGGTGGGGAATTCCCAGACATGCTCGGTCCATGCTGAAGGACAGAGGGGGCCAGGAAAGGAAAGGTGGGGGAAGGGAGAGATACTTACTTCCCATGGGTCAGCTGCATCCGCGGAAAGAGAGAGCAGGCACTTGCCACTTACCAGGCTTCTTATATGAGCTTGGAAAAGGGTGTGGTTACATGATCCCACCCCCAGGTCACAGGTAAGAGGAAGTACTTTCATGTGACTGACAGACAGGCAGATGGGGTTCCATGGGTCCGGGGTGTTTGTGGTTTCTTACTAAACTAGCTACCTACTATCCCCTATCAGTTCTAAGGCCTCCCGCAGCAGCAAGTCAGAGCACCTGTGTCTGGAGTATTTTTGCAGCCCCAACTTCACCTCTCTAGTACTTTGAATATGAAGCAGGTGCAAGGCATTCCTCCCCCTCAGTAGCCACGAAACAGTCACACTAAGATACAGCTGGGCACCTGCTAGGACTCGCACATCCCAGGTGTGCTTACTTTCAGGCCCGCACCGCCATCCAGGACGTGTACACACGCTGAACTGCATCCCTCTAAAATTCAGACGCTAAGCCCTAACCTCTGGTATCTCAGAATTGTATCTGACCGAGAAGACCTCATTGCTCATCTACAGAAAGCAGAGATCCTTCTGCAATGCAATAGCTCGTTAATCCGTTAGGCCTGGTGGGTGTCCTCATAAAAAATAAAAAAAAAAAAAAAAGAAAAGAAAGAAACAAAGAAAAGAAAATCATGCCTGGACACACTGGGTAAACACCAAGCTTCACCCTCTCTGGGTCCTGAGACTGTGGTGCACACTAGTAAGGCTAGTCTACTTGTGGTACTCCCTGGCCAGGCAGCCCTCAGAACCTAACACAGCCGACTCCCAGAATATGCCATCTCTGGTAAGTGTTCTGGGAATATGCCATGGTCACACTTGAGGAAACGTTGCCAGACAGATCCAAGAAAGAAGAACCCTCAGCACCAGCTCCCCACCTTATCGGCACTTCTGAACTGGCTTAAGGCTTATCTGCACACTGTCAGCAGTGCCCTCCCTCGGGGTTCAGAACGAGTGGAAAGGCACAGCTCTTTCCGCGTCTGCCCTTGCAGTACCCATCTCACTACTCCTAAATTTTAGAGACTTGTACTCTTCACAAAGCTACACTGTATCATTCCTCTAATGTCTCCCATAACAGGCTGGTCATATTCATCTTTGTATCCTCAGCTTCGAGCACAGCATCAAGCAAAAAAAATGCACCGTTTTTCCTTAATGAATTAGATTATGCACGAAGTAGTGACATTCTCCACTGCCCCTGGCTTTGCCCTTCCAAGTGGTCTTGAACGAAATTACATTCACTCAAGGAGATTCACAGTTCTGTGGTGGCCCATCTCTGGAGAAAAGAGAACAGCTGAGGAATGAAGACAGAGGAGAGAGAAAGAAAACTCAGCTGTAGAGTATTTCATTAATGCAGGCCGAAGACCCCGGATCACAGAACAACAATTCATTCTGCCATAAAACAACTTTTCAAAGTAGAGTACCCCGCAAGGTCTTTGGCACGGAGAGGGGACGCCCACCGCAACTGGTCACTAGGTGGGGCCAAGGCTGACCACGTGCGAGGTGCGGTCACTGCGCGGCAGCTTCGGCCGTCTCCCCGTTGGGACTCCGGGGGGACAGGGATGTCCACCCCGGGGCATGAGTCTGTCCCTCAGCCTTTCAGCCAGCTACAACAACAGGGGCTCTCACGACACCCGTCCACTCCGCTCAGGTCCGGGCGTGCCCCTGGCCCGGTCTCCCTCGTCTTCCCCGCTCACCATGAGGCGGAGAGCGCCGCGTCCGCAGTGGCCACGGTGGGAGCTGGGTGCGAAGACAGAAGCTCCCGGGTCGTCGTGACGACAGGCCACGCCCACAGCGGTCTGCGCAGTCGCGCCGGGGCTCTTCCGGCGGGCGCTCCGCCCCTTGGGCTGACAGGTGCGTCCACGCCCTGCAGCTGGGCGGACGGACGGGCGGACGGAGTGGAAGTGGACCGAGGCCTTCGCGGCTGCGGAGAGCCGGACAGTGCGTGAGTGGCTCCGAGCGGGGCAGGGCGCCCTCGCTGCCTTCCCGGTGTGTGCATGTCGGGAACTGCCGTGTGATTGGCTTGCACCCAGGGGCTGACAGCTCGGCCGGCTGCCCGGGCCCCCTCGGGTTAGGCCAGAAGAGGCAGGAACCCGGGTGTCCGTGTAGATAAGGCGGGGTGCAGCCGGCTCTGAGGCCGGTGACCTTCGGACTGCTCGGGGTTCTGTGGACTCTGTGTACGGATGTGTGTGCCCCGCTGTTCCCAAGGGCAGCCCCAGCACCGATGGTGAAGGAAGCAATTCCTGGACCAGATCTTGCCTCCAGAGGGAGCAAGCCGCCCACCGTGGGCCCGGGTTACAGACAGCGCGCAGCAGCCAGCAGCCTCCTCCGTGGTCCGGAGCCCCGCTGGGTTCTCTCCATGTAGCCGCAGGGAACCCGGGCCTCGTTGCTGAGTGGCAGGGTTTCACAGTGCTCCCTCCCTTCCGACGCCGTGACTTGACGTGCTGTGATCCCCCAAGGAGTCGTCTCTGGGCTAAAGGGCTACTAACTTGTGCAATAGGACAGTTGCACCAACAAGGCCATTGTTGTTTGTTGTTTGGACTCGTATGTATTTTTTTTACAGCATGTATTTAGAATCCAGGACGATGGCTTAGTAGCTAAATCTTTGCCTTGCATTCACCGGGATCCCATATGGGTGCCGGTTTGTATGCTGGCCGCTCCACTTCCCATCCAGCCCCCTGCTTGTGGCCTGGGAAAGCAGTGGAGGATGACTCCAAAGTCTTGGGATCCTGTACCCACGTCAGAGACCTGGAGGAAGCTCCTGGCTCTGGCCATTGTGGCCACTTGGGGAGTGACTCAGTTTATGGAAGATCTTTCTATCTCCTTCTCCCTATAAATATGCCTTACATAAAAATAAATCTTTAAAACAAAGGTGTATTTGAAAGGCAGAACTATACAAAGGATATAGAACTTCCATTGACTGTTCGCAAATGGCCACAAGCTGGGGCCGGGCCGGTCTGAAGCGAAGAGCCAGGAGCTTCTTCCAGGTCTCTCACATGGCTTGAGGCTGCTTTCCCAGGCACATTAACAGGGAGTCGGATTGGAAATGGAGTAAATGGGACATGAACTGGCATCCATACGGCAGGCCAGCACTGTAGGCAGCAGCGGCTTAGTCCGTTATGATGTAACGCTGGCCCCGGTGTTTCATAATATAAAACTTGTCAACACAGACTAGGATTGGTGGGGATAAGGAGGTGTGAGAATAACCCCAAGCTAGCCAAAGATGCTGGGTCTCCAGGAGAGAGGACTTTGTAATCAAACCGCCTGTCGGGATGAAGGAATTGCTGTGGATGTGTCAGAACTAGGCAGTGTTCTAGGGGGCACGCTGTTACAAAAACTACCAGGGAGCTTCATTTTCCTCCAGTACTCCTTGAACAGGTATGACAGGCATAGTTATCTGTCCCTTCTAAAAATATATACCAGTTTCTTTTCGGCTCACTGGTATAACCTGGCTCTTGGGCCTAGGAGCAAGCAGTCTGCAGTGTTAGGGGAGAAGTCTCGGCCACTTACCTCCGATCACGCTCTCCACATCTGCCAAGTGTCCTGGAAGAGCTTGAGTGGAGATGCCTAAACTTAAGTTTATTTGGGGCAGTTTGAGTCGTCTCACTGCAGCACAACATGAGGTCATATGGAATCCAGCAATTTCGCCAGTTTTCCTTCTGTTCCAGTTATCATCTGACCTTAGTGGGAAAGCAGAACTTTCGGCACCAGGACCACTAGTAAAGTGACAACTCTCCTTTAATCCAGCACTGGAGCTAGTTTTCAGTCCAGAGTCGCTGGTTAAAAACAACAAACAACCACCACCACCACCAACAACAACAGAGGGAAATTGCACCTGACTGTAACCTCCTGCACAAATTCCAAACTCTCACAAAAGCTGGGGACGTCTCTCAGCCTCTCACTCACTTAGCTCTTGACTTAGCGCAGTAACCGCTGCCACTTCAGGCAGCGTTAACGAACAGCCCTGGGTCCCCGCTGCTGTTATTCTCCAAAATAGAGACAATCTTAACATACATGTGACATAAACATATCTCAAGCTGAAGGTACAACTGTACATCACAGATAGACCCAACACTGACCACCAGTTTAGCCTAACGTATCCTAACCTTGTACACACTTCTGATTTCTCAAGCGTAAAACCATAGAACACAAGCCCTCCTATGTAATAAAGTGCAGAGTATCTGAAAAAGGGGAGGTTTTATTAATTTAGAAGCAGTGTCACTTTCTATGTGATCTTTTTCCACTAGGAAGGAGTCAGAAAAGCATATTTATGAACTCCAGCAAGAAAAGGTCATCCCGTAGCCACTATACTGGCAACATTTGCCTTTTGGGTATAAGCATTATGACAAAACTTCATGGTTTTCATGATTTCAAAAAAAATATATTTACTTTAGCTGCTAGGCTACCCAGGCCCTCGTGTAGTATTTTTCAAGACTACAGAACTATGGTTAGCCAAAAGGAAGCCAGGAAATTTCAAACATTACAGAACTGCTAATGCAGGAGTCAAAAGGCGTTTCTGGGAGAAGGATAGAGCAGGATCCCACCATGAAAGCTGAGCCCCTGGACATGGAGAGCAGCTACCCTCTGCAATGTCTGAGCAGTGAACAGGACTCACCAGCTGGATCCCTGCTGCCAAGGTGCCGCCTCGTTCAGCTCCCCACAGTGTGCCTGGGCACCCCCGGTCTCAATCTTGATCGGTCCTTTCTTTGTCCTGACCATGTGGTGATGAAAAGCCTTCTTCCCTGATGTGCAAGCAGGCTGGGACCTGCAGAGGGCACCCACTTGCTACCCTTGTGTTTCAACCTGTTCCTGCAAGCTAAGCTGGGCTCTAGTGAGAGTAAAGCAGCAACTAGCCTTCTCCTAGCCTCTCTTCTTGTGTGCACTGGCCAGAAATCAGCTGTCACAATCCCCTCATGACGCTGCAGTTGAATTCTCCAGGGGAGCCTACTTCTAACCCGCAGAAAGGGAAAGCAGCCTGGATTGCTCAGCTCACAGCAGGTTGGCTGCCCCTTTCCTTAGGCTAGTGCTTGCTGCTGTCAAAACTAAATGTGTCATTCAGAACACAGCTCATGGTGGGGAAAGCCACAGAGCAGGTCCCCAGGGAGTCAGTGCCATCGTGGTAGATGGGGAAGGAGCGGCAGCTGGAGGGGACACAGCAGCTTCCGAGACTTCTATTTCTTAAATGGTGGGTACTCAGATGTGTATGTTTGACATATTTCAAGCACCATTTTTCTTATGTATTGTAAATATCATAAAAACTTTAAAGTGAAGTATATGAATAGCATTGATATATTCTATTTTTTCAAATTATAAGAGATTTTGCCCAAATGCCCCCAAAGATGTGGGGTTTAGGAGGCTGCAGGGAAGTCAAAATTGAGAATCTACATTTTTTTCCTGTAGGGCGAGGCCAAAATTAACAGCAATGAAGGGAAGGACACTATTCAGCATCACTATTTTTCATTGATACGGTGCTGTAATTTTCAGCTACAACTTCTGCCGCTTAACTGTAAAATAACCATAAAAACAGACTGAAAGGGCCACAATGCACATTGCTTCCAGGTCATCCTTCAGAATCAGTCAGTCCTAAAGCCACCAGGTGAGGTCAGGCAAGACAGGCACCTGGGAAAGGGGGAGGAGGAGATGAAAGGTTGGCAAGACGGTAGCCCTGCCAGGGGTGATTGGGGCCAAGTGGCATGAAGGTAGGGCTGGGGACGGCAATAACCGAGCACCAGGGAGGAGCAAGCAGGCACACAAGTGGGAAATTGGGGTAGCGGGAAGGGTAGAGTTTGGAGAGGCAGTGATAAATGTGGTCTAGTGCTAGGCAGCAGGGCCGAGTGGTGACCCCGACAGGAATCTGACTACACAGGAAAAGGTGATGATGAATCACTGCTGATGATGGAATCAGAGTCCTCGTTATTGGACAAAAGTGTCAACACTGTGGGCAGAGAGGAGACGAAAATAAACCCCATGAGGTTGGAACACATTAGGTGTCAGATTATAAACTGCCAGATGGCCCTCCATCCCTACCTGTACATATGTGTGCAGCACGGTCTGCTTAGCGAACCTGGGAAGAGTGGACATGCAAAGTTAATAAGCATTTCTGGAGTCCAGATCTTGGCTTCTAAAATATTCCATCCAGATTGTAGTTTCTAAGCACAGCATCAAGAATTTTAGGATTTAATTCCAAATAATCATGCAAAGTAGTAGAAATGATCTTCTAGGTTTAAGCTGTCAAGGTGTCTTAAGCAGCCTTTTCCCATCAAGTGCATCAGCAAGTTTGACCCAGTGCCCAGGATGCTGCTGCCCAAGATGGCTCACTAGCCCCTGGCCATCTGCCTGCACCCGCTGCCTGACTTGGACTGACTTGGACTGTCTGTGTAGTCTTTTGCCGCCTCTTGAATGTCTTCCAGACTTGACCAGGCCTCTTTCCGACACCTTCTAAATAGATCTGGCCTTCTCTCACGAGCAGGTAAACAGCTGATAAGCAAGCGGGTTCAGTAAGATTAGGTCACTTATAAAATGAGGCAGCTGGCAGTAACAGGGTCAGATTTACTGATTTGTGGTTATACAAGGAGATGAGCTGAGAATGCACTTTCCAATCTCGAATCCTTCATAGGATCTGTTAGAATTCCTAACTCTGCATTTCTGTCTCCCTTACAAGTCAGTTCTCTAACAGAACTCGCTCACTCCCAGCTATAACCGGCATCTGAAACACACAAGCAGTCTACAAACATTGAAAGTAGAAGAAATTGCCACTTCCCCATATGCTTTTTTCTTTAATTTTTAACTACAAAGCAGTTATTTGAAAACAATGTATCTTCTTCAGGTATGTGGTACATGAAGAAAGTGGAAAGCTCCCAGGGTAAATGAACATGGCCAATTCTCTGAGAGGAGAAGTACTGAATCTTTATAAAAACGTAAGTAGTAACTGCGCTGCCAATTTTACAAATCCTATGTAAGACATGAATCATTTAGACATATATAACTTCTTTTTTTTTAAGCTGCTGTACCTTGGACGAGACTATCCAAAAGGAGCAGACTACTTTAAAAGGCGTCTGAAGAATGTTTTCCTTAAAAACAAGGATGTGAATGACCCAGAGAAGATCAGAGAACTTATTGCACGGGGAGAATTTGTAATGAAAGAGCTGGAAGCCTTATACTTCCTTAGGAAATACAGAGCTATGAAACAACGCTACTATTCAGATACCGACAAAACTGACTGACAGTTGCTATCATAATTGGCTAGAAGTGTGAAACAGTTCTGACTTAAGACAGTCATACACAGGTTATATCAAAAAATACCACCCTATTGTAGCTGCATTTCAATTTCTGCTCAAACCAAAACCCTGATCATCAGTTTACCCAATTTTTATTCTAAAATAGCAGTTAATCGTGCTACCAATTACAAGTTAATGAATATCCAGTTTTGAAAGATGTAATACACTTTAATGTGACTTAAGATTTTACCCAGCTATTCTGCCCATTTCCCCATTTTACTGACAAGATATTGCTTTTTAATGTATACTTTCTAAGTAAAATAACTTCTTTTACATTTACTCCTAATTTTATTTTTGACCCATTTTCATAAATTAACAGTACGAAGTTCATGCTAAAGATCTAAATGTAGTTATAGAAATAATAGGATGTACAGAGTGAGACTATTTCTGACCCTCCAACTGTTGGTGACAGGCATTAGAGACATAGGTACTCAGTTAACTCCAGAATAAACTCTGCTGCCTGCTCCCTTGGGGTCTAAAACCAAACCAGCAGGTGTGCCTCCAGCAGTAAGTGCTGGCCCCTTGTGCCGACATCTACTTCTCAATGAGTGAACAGGCAGTGGGTCGAGACCCAACATGGTTTTACACTACACATTAAACCTCTACATAATGTTCACAACAACTTTTATAATAAAGAGTATTTTTGCACTTACAACCTGGTGTACTCTAGTGCCTGTGGTTTGTAAAGTATTCCATTATCGATTGTGAAGCAAATGTCTCAAGTTTCCATCAAGAAATACACACTCTCATAGTCACCATAACTATTTTTATTACATTACAATAATTAGGAGCAGTACAGTTCATGACAAAAATATTACAAATTTCAGATCACTTCACAGCACATACTCCTATAAACATTTAAAAGTTAATTTTAATTAAAAGAGTGGTCATTTTAAAATTTGATGTTTGATATGACCAACATTCCTAGGTCAGCGCAACCAAAGGATGGAAAATGACTGGATCACACTGCATATGTCCCACAAAAAAAAAAAAGCACAATGTACAAAATGTGCATGTTTCAGTTTACACTATACAAAAATAGTTAAAATACATTCCAGGTAAACATGTGACATTAAGAAATAGTACTAGTAAGAAATTGGCACGCAAAGGAAAAATGCAAAAGTATTTTCAACATGAAAACACAAGACAGTGGACCTGGAAACTTGTGATGAACGTCACGTAACCGGTCAGCTCTGGGGGTGGTGGGCCCTCTGGGATCGCTGTTTCTGCAGGTTGGAACTTTTGTTTTTATAAAGTCCTTCTAAATTGCCTATCATCATCCCAAACAGGTACTGCAAACTATTTAACTAAAACACGAATCTTAATCTAGTTATTATGCCTCAAAAACTAGCATGAATATATCTTCTAAGAAATAATATCCACTTTCTGACAGATTTACAGTTGCCAGTTGTTTATTGTCCAGTTTCTCAATGCAGGATTCATGCTACCCAATAGTAGCCAGAAAATCACTAAATGTAAATTCAGTTTTAAATCAATTGTTTGATTTTAAGAAACACTGCAAAGTAATGACCAAGAAATTATTATATGACAAAATGGGAATTATTTCAGACAGTTCTTATTGTCTCAAAAAAAAAAAAAATCCTTAGGTGTATATGTATTCTTTCAGGGGAAAAATGGTTACCAGGGAAAAAAGAGAAAGTCACTGGAATACAAATGAGATGAATTTGTGCAAATGATAACTTAAACATGCCTTAGAAAGTTTATACACACAAATATTTTAGGACAAAATTGTGCACTCGTGGCAAAAGTTTTAACAACTCAAGAGTTAGAGTCTAAATTCCTATGCAGTGTGACTCAGTTAACACAGAGCTTAGAATCCCTAATGGGGAATATTCCACCCAAATTACGCTACATGTCAGCTAAGTTCCTCCACAAACATATTAATACTAAGACTATGTAATTTAGCACTTTTTCCAACAAGGATTTATCTTTAAAGCTATTATAATTAAGTAACATTTACATTAATTCCTAGAATTTTCACCCTCTCTGAAATCTTTAAGAAAACCTTTTGTTAAGCTATTCAAAATTTACCTAACAAAAGATTATTACCACTACCTTAAAAAAATGTGCCCAGCTATATCAAACTCAGGAGTTTTAAATTTACTGCCCCCTCTGTCATGCCCTACAGTTGCTAAGTGTGGTCATGTGTCTGTAGATTTAAGAGGTACTTGTTCAGTCACAGAACTCTGCCTAGACAATACTCCCAAACTCTGTACTTTAGCACTGCACTTCAGAAATTGTATTTTTACACAAAAGTTTCCTTTTCTGTGAACTGACCAGATAAAACTTTTAGAAGTCAATCTTTAATTTTTAAAAGTCTATTTTAACTACAAAGAACATTACACACTTTTGAATTTTAATATTAGTATGACAGAATGTAATACTATAATTGTCTCAATAAATCAGTTATGCCAAATAAAGATCAAAGTTTACCCTTTGAAACAATGTAAAGTGATCTATATATGAAGTAACTTGATCAGTCACAATGGAATCATAGCAAAACAATTATTTTAGAACTGGGAGAAGCCCTCTCTGAGGAGCGGAGCTCCACACTGGTTACCTGCAGGTCCTGTGCGGGGCCTGACACGGCCTTTGGGAGCACGGCAGCACGGCTGAGCAGTGGACAGGATGTCCCTCCTGGAGGATGCTTACACCTCATCATTGTTGTCTGTACGCTAGCTGCCATCGGATAGACACTCACTGTATTCACAGAATAAATGAGTTCTCATAAACAGCAACGTGCATTAAATCCCAAAGTACTTTTCATTGTAATGGAATGTACGACTGGCAGCAAGGCTCGCCCTGGCTGCAGACTGCAGCACTACCTTTATTAAGTTCTCCTTCCACTGGACAGCACTGTCTGTTCAGACTTCGGCTGGTTTGGAAATTCCTCCTTACTGGGCTACAAAGAGATGATGGTCAAGGCTCTTGATTAAACTGCTACTGGTATCACCCACCTCGCAGGTCACATTCCATCACTGTATCTGTCAGATTAGTCAGAGCCCTGAGGAAATAAGATGTGGGGCATTCTGAACGTGACCTACTGGGAAAACATCATGGAGACATCCATAGCAGCAAAAACACAGGGAATCAGGAGAATGGGAGGATTGAAAGAAAGGTGCATCGTGTCATCTTGTGGAAGGATGGGCAGGTACAACGGCATGGGAGGGGAGTCCTGAAACTGGAGAATGAATATAAACACAAATATAAACTTCACCCTGTGCACAATTTTGCCCAAGACTGGCAATGAAGATGGTAACACAGGTAAAAACAAGTTGGAGATTGTGCAAAGCGGGACAAACAGGTGTAGGCTTACGTAAGCTTAACGTAAACCACACGGCTGTGGAGTTACAGGGAGCTTTGAGATGACTTCTTTTAACATGGAGACATGGACAACAAGTGATTAGTTCAAAATCTGGATTTGCGCAGGAAGCACACCTAACCCCTGAGTCCCCTTCCTCCTAGGCTGCTATTTTCATCTCCCTATGCCATCTCGCCTCAAACACTTTCAATAACACTTTAGATGCATTGCAAGGACTTTTCAGTAACGCTTATACATCTGTTCTTTTAGTAATAGCTATTCAAAATTTGCATCAAGCATGGAAAGTGCTCATGATGCACTACTTTAACCAGTATTAAAAGAATTAACCAAACTAGACATTTCTGAAACTTTTGCTTCAATGTTTAAAAAGAAATTTGTTGACACATCCAACCTCAAAATCTGAACTTTCAAGTCAATACTTAAATTTCTTAAAAAGTTTACAAAAAAGAAACGATGCTTTTGACTCGTCCGTGGAACCACCACATGCTACAAATGCATCCTGTCGAGCTGAGCTATTCAGACACTCTCCGGGCCCCATGGTGAGCCACCCGCGCCAAGCAGCCCTGGGTCACTCGGTGCTCCAGTGCTCCGGAGGCCTGGGTGACACCTCCAGGTTCACACAGGGCCTGGCCTTCCAACCTGAGTCTCATCACCACCCACTTAGCCATAAAGAACCCTAGTAATCACTTCCAAAGACTAGTAAGTCCAAGAAAAGACGCAAATTTATGCTGAGAAAGAGCAATCTGACCCAAGGAGATTATATTTAATTCCTATGAGAATTTTTTATACATTTTAAAAGTTTTTCCGCTATTATAAAACTTTAATAGCATGTAAATACAGCCCCTAATTAGTTACTATAATCCCCATTTCATACTTGGCTTGCCTTAACAGGAAAAGCCATTAGGAATCTGAATAATTTACCTAATGTGGATAGTCAATGGCCTTAATTATTCCATTGTTTTGTATTTTTTTTTCCTTTTCTTCCTTTTTATAAAAAAAATATAGTATTTGGAGGAGAGAGACCATGACTAGTAGTGGGAAAGGAAACTTTTGCTAACAATGTCACTTCGCACTCGTGAGGATGGCAAACGGGAGGACATGATGCTCAGAAGACAAATCAATACAAAGTCCAGACATGCGTGTTCCCTCAGCGTCTCAGGAAAATGGCCAGAACTCTAAACTGAAGTTAGTCACTAATTAACCCATGTATGTGACTAGATAAAACATAAAACAGGGATGACGTCAAAGCTTCTTTAGGTTGTTTCACACCAATGTTCACAACTGATAAGGAAACAGGAAGGGGTCAGCGGCATGCACCACGCAGCCCGGGACGGCAGGCGTCCCAGGAACTCAGCTTTTGTTTCACAGGCATTGCTAGTTCATAAACTAAAATCAGGGAATACTGGCACTTAGAGGAAAAAAAAAAAAAGCTTCCACTGTCATTTAAAAATAAGCATTTAGGATAAAAGCTAACAGTTTGCATGGAGCAGAAAAAAATTAAGTAATGCTAAAACAAATGCTAATAATTTAGTGTAATGTACAAAAATTACCACTTTTACTTAAGTATGCCTTAAGAAAAAAGTACAAATTTTATTTACATAATTATACACTTTGTCTTTGACTTCTTTTTCTTCTTTTTACCATCTTTGCTCATCTTTTCTTTATGTTTTCGAATTTCTCGAACTAATGTATAGAAGGCATCGTCAACACCCTGAAATACAGAAGTGTTACAATGTGACTCTGGCTATGTGACCAATTTCAATATACAGATAACAGATGTCATTTACAAGAAACATTTTCTTGAAAAATAATAGACACCTTATGCTTCTCAAAGGGCAACTGAATTCACGTTTCACATATTAGATTTTTGGGATTCTTCAAAGGCTATTTTGACAACACTATAAACAAAATCAGGCAAGGACAATCAATATACAGAATTCCATATAAAAAATGACCTTTTCCCAGGAGCATTTCCCACTAACTCTTCCCACAGCGGCTGACCTCAGTCAGCTGTGCAGATGTATAGATGGGCGTGGTACACACATACACTTGTTTGTCTGTTTCTGGACTTTAAGTCATGCAACTATAAATTTTTTCCATGTGTGTGTTCAAAGTAACAGTATTTAGAGTCCTGATTTTACAGCTATGTAAATCAAGTAGACTTAAGTAACTTACTAAGGAATAACCAGTATCTGAACCTACCATTGTAGCATTCTAATTATATTGATCAGTTTTTAATTCATACACTTATCACTAAGAAAGGATCCCAAAATGGTTACTACTGCTTTGAACAAATCAAGTACTTCTAATTTGTAGAGATGAGAGCTAAAACATTTGAATGGTAAATTTAATTTTGGAAAGATCTTCTCATACTTATTGCTGCCTTGGCTTCTGTTTAATGGAATAGAGATTCAGAAGTTTGCCAGACAAAGCCAAACATTCCATCTTAAAAGAGTTTTCCGCCTTTGGCCCCTGAGGTCTACATCTGCTGATATTCAAAACAAGCTTTCTAAATCAGTTACAGCTAAAGTGATGTTTCATTCAGGGTAATTTAAAATAACAAATCTGAAAAATGGAACGGAACATATCTTAACACTGCAATATTTATTTTAGGCAAAATAAATAAACACAAAACTAGCAAGGTAAAGAAAAACAACATCCTCTCTGTATTCAAAGTCTCATTTCCAAGCCTAGACACTAGGGGGAGTCTCAGGAACAAATTACCAACAAACTGCTTAATCAGGACATTTTTTGGACACTGAATACTGAGTTGATATCATTACAAATGAATATCCTAAATTGTACAAATGTTATATGTATGTCATACATACTGTAACACGTATAAATACATCTGTTAAAGTCTGTTGAAAATAATTTTAAAATGTGATATGATTATTCCTTTAGTAACATCTTCAACAATTATCTTCAGAAATAATAACAAAATTAATCCAGGACATTTTCCTTCAAATGACATTAAGCTGATTTCCACATCCTTTCTGTCACTTAGGAACAGCATGACTAGCATTTGAAAAGTCACAAGACTGGGAATGGAAGCCTTGATCCACATTTAGACAGCCAATAACGTTAGAGAATATTAAAAAACAAAATATTGGACAATAAAAGTCTTGAATAAAGTCCCTAAAATGCACTCATTCATATTTTCCTCATTCTGATATCATTGCTGATACAATACAAACATATGCTTTTATTTCTTTCAAAGGAAAAAAAGTGTTAAGTTATCTACATAACTTTTTTTCATGGCTTATCTGTTGATTTCTCCCTTATATGCTTCCTTAGTACATATAGAGAAGGAAAATTCCAATAATACAACAATTATTGGATATACCATAAATATTTGACAAATCTGAACTATAAACCCTTACAATGGGATGGAGTCTTCAAAGAGGATGCAATGCAACTCTTCTACTCTTCATTAAAAAAAAAATCCCTTTGATACATATCCTTCCTAAGTGAACTGCTTCAACCACTACTACAAGGAAAAAATCCAAAAATGCTAAAAATTGGGAAAGAAAAAAAGAAAGAAAAGCCAGGAGATGGGCAGAGAAACTAGATACATTCAAAGCTAAGAACAGTATCAAGTATTTATAAGAAAATGAGACAAGATTTTCTAAGATTTCTTAGGCACATGCTGCACTATACTCTCCATGATTTTCCTAAAATGAAATAATTTCAGTGACAGAAAAAGTCACAATCTACACAATAGCGAATTATTCATGTCCAAACATACATGTAAAAGCAAGCAATGTCCCAGAAATCATTTTGTTTAAACCTGTAATTTTCACAGCTAAAACTTCTCTGTGTACATTTGTCATTGTTATAATTTTCTAGAGAATATTTTTATTTAACTTTAAACTGTTAAGTATTACCACATACACTTTTCGTATTAATGCTACTGCTGCCCACCAAAATTACAAGGATTCAGTGGGTCAATTATTTTACATTCATATTATAGTTACTGTAAAAATGTTTTTTGCAGAACTTTAAAATTTTTACATGTTTACATATTTTAAGTTACATAAAATTTTTATTTTATTCTAAACAATTCAACTAAATATGCATCTAATAATGAGATGACAGGAAATAGAAAAAAATTAAAACCACCCCTTAAATGTGGTCACGGTACTATTAGTTAAAAAGTTAACTTTTCAGGGTGGGCACAGTGGTCCAAGAAACAGGTTCAGCATATCGTTGGGATGCCTACATCCCACAATGGTGTGCCAATTTCAATTACAGCTCCTTCACTTTTGATCCAACTTCCTGCTAACAACCCTGAGAAGGCAGCAGAGAATCACCCAAATGCTTGGAGCTCGGCCATTCACATGGGACATGTGGCCTGAGTCCCTGGCTCTCAGCTTCACTTCTGGTCAGTCCTGGCCACTTGCAGTATCTGGAGAGTCAATCAGTACATGCAAATTTTTTCTCTCAAATAACCAAATATTAAACAAAAGGTTTATTTTCAAACTGCATTGTAATGCTGAATTTTACAACCTGTAAATTAAATTTTGCTTTACATAAATGACACTCAAAAACGAATTCATAAATTTCAATAAAAATTAATGCCAGTCATGCTTTGTTTCCCAAGATTATATTAATACTATACATGGTATTTTGGGGGTTGAATCTATCACTTGGATGTGCATTTTACACTTCTGGTACACCACCTTGTAGTCTGGTGAGCAAAAGAAGCTATAACCTAGCAATTTTGTGAAAATTACAATTTTAGTTCATTCACATTCTCGCAGTGTTATATATTACAAAAAATATGCACTTAAAAGCTAAAGTTTTGATGTGAACTTCTGAGCAAGACAGGATAACATGCGTCTGTGCAGAAAGGAAGCTGCAAGGTGCCATTCAGTGTATCTTCACCGGGGAGCCTCATTAAGCAATGATTATACAAAGATGAAAAACATGTATGGCTCCAACTCTTTAAGGTTTCATTTATCTAATTCAAAAAGGTCACGCAAAATGGATTTAAAAGGTAAATATATTTTGGTGAACAAAGTTAAAATTCATGTGTAGTTTTTATAATAAGAATTTTCCACGGTGACTCAATGAACTCTGCCTGCAAGTGGCAGCATTCCATACAGGTGCCACGTTCCTGTTCTGGCTGTTCCACTTCTCATCCAGCTCCCTGCTTGTGGCCTGAGAGGGTAGTAGAGGATGGACCAAAGCCTTGGGACCCTGGACCCATGTGGGAGACCCAGAAAAAGCTCCTGGCTTCAGACTGGCTCAGCTCCAGCACTGTGGCCATTTGGGGTGTGACCCAGCAGATGGAAGATCTCTGTCTTCCTTCTCTCTGTAAATCTACCTTTCCAATAAGAATAAATAAAATCTTAATTTAAAAAAAAAAGAAACGCAGATATATTGGGAAAATAGAGGGAAGAGTTGCCCAGTCTGAGGAGATCTTGGAGAACATAAGATTGGAGAATCATAAGGGAGTGTAAACTAGTAAGTCAGTCCAGCGATCAGAACACACAACTTCAAGTAAGTGCCAAGATTCAAGGGAAGGCAGGCAATACCTTGGCATTTATTGATATAAGGACAAAGAGAAAGTCAGGCAATTCCATTCAATGTGGAAATCCTAGAAATAAGTGCCCAGAGTTTGAAGAGGTAGAAAGAGGCTAAGGAATCCATATGACATGCTGTGGAACTTGCCATTTTATTCCACAGGGAAGTCAGTGACTAGATAGACTTAAAGGAAAGAGAATGGTATTTCTTTCAAGTATCTCTTCGTGGTGGCACAGTGAATGGCACTGGCACCAGGTCCACCACACCCAAGAGGGGTCAAAACAAACTGTTCCAGCAAGAAATGAAGCTGTGACGGAAGAGCTGGAAGGGAGCACCATAAAGTTTCCGGCTGCTTCCACACGGAGCATGAAAGGTGAGCAAGGAGTCTTCCTAGGACTCCAGGCTTTTGTCTGGGCAGAAATGTGCTATGGATGCCATTGTCTCGGAGAACACAGGTAGGTGAACAGCTACTCGCTTGTGCAAAGAGGGATTCCATCCCACCTTCTGGGCCATCTCATCTCAAAGCTCTATTATAACAACCTTTTTATCTCTCCCCAGAAAAATGAAAAATAAAACAAGAAAAAAAACAAAAAACAACAACAAAAAAAGCTGATTGGTTCAAAACTTGAGTCTGATTTCCTTTAAAAATAAAGACCAGCTCAATTGCTAGCTTACCTTACACTAATTGAAACACTAGACCTTATTCCAAATGTAGTTCACCACTGCTACCAAGATTATCTCAAAAATAACATCCATTGGGTTCAAAGTAAGCACACTGATTATGGGAATAAACTACAGATTCCATATCTTTGAATACTTCAAATTAGAAATGCACGCCTAAGCAGCTGCTACTTTGTCACCTTCATAAGATACCTACTTTCTGCCATAATTAATATGCTGAACTTACCAGATTACATTATAATGCATTTTTTAATTTTCACACAGCCAGGAGTCTTTTCTTCTTTGCTGATTTTTTTCAATCTGTATTGTCGGATCTCTCTCACCAATGTATAAAAAGCATCCTCCACTCTCTGCATTGTAAAACACAACTTCTTTAAAGTCTGTTTCGTTGATAAAACTAATTTACTGGGACAGCCATGTGCAAGAAGTCTGAAATTATGGGCTTGAGAAATTTTTTTTAAAAACAGATATTAAAAATTGAATTACAGATGCAGTTTTAAAATACGGGCTAGAATCCTGGTTTGCTAAGACAGCTGTTTTCTTAAAATCTAATCAGGATGTAGAAAAATTAAAATTAAAAAAAGGAACCCTAACTATATATCTATATGGAGATATATAGATATCTTTATCTATATATGTATCAAGTATTGTGATCATTCTGGTTATTCATAAAATTAAAGCTAAGTTTAAATTATTTATTTGCCTTTGAAAAATGGGTACTTTATTTACTACTGATTCTTCACCACACCCCAATGAATTGTGCAACGGGAATATACAAGCTGTTTTAAAAACTGAACTAGGGTCAGCACCGCTGTGTAGCAGCAGATGGAGGATCTCTCCTCCCCCGCCTCTCTGCAACTCCAAATTTCAAGTAAAATAACTTTTAAAATTAAAACAAAAAAATAGTTAAATCAATGTTCAATCATACTGGCTTTGTAATTTCTAAGATAAATACTTCAAAGAAGCTGTGCTTAAGGCTATAAGAAGTGACCTTCACAGTTGGCCTTAACAGGAAATTTTTAATCTTCTCCAGTCCAGAAAAGTTGGTAACAAAGAGGACAGAATACCTAATTACTCTGCCCATTTGTCTAGGAAAACAGACCATCTAGGCAAAAGCTGACATGAACAGGAGAAAAGCACAGAAATATGAGTCTATGTGCTGCATAAATTATCTTACAACATGGTCACATACGTGTTCTTTCTTATTTAATGATTTACTCTGGGAACTGGCATGTTTTAACTGTGGGATTGGTAAAATCAGTGTTTCTCAGGCATGAGCTTAATTTAGTTTCTGCCTGTAGAAAGCATCTACACACTTATTATCCATAAGAGGTAAGACAAGGACATCTCAATTCTTCAATGCATATTGATTTTCACAAATCTCAACAGCAAATTAACGACATTTAGGGGTGGGTGCTTGGCTTATGAGTTACTGTCCCACATAGGATTGCTTAGTTCAAGTCCAAGCTGCTTTACTTCCAATCGAGCTTCTTGTTACTGTGCACCCTGGGAGGCAGCAGGTGACAGCTTAGGCACTTCCCTGCCACCCATGTGAGCGATTTAGAGTACAAGCCAGCAAGTGGCCAATTGGTCTCTCTGCCTTAAAATGAAGAGGGGGGAAAAAGAGAACCACTTCAGAAGAGTTTAGTAATTTACCTAGGGGCAATTATTTGGCACAGTGAATACGGCACTCCTTGGGAAAGCTACTTCCCATGTGGATACCTAAGTTGGAGTTCTGGCTCTGCTTCCAGGTCAAGCTTCCTGCGAGTGTGCCTTCCAGGAGGCACCGGGGGGCTGAGGGCTCCAGCACTGGATCCCTGCAAAGGACATGGAAGACCCTGACTTAGGATTCTAGGCTCCAGTTTCTGGCCTGGTCCAGATCTATCTGTTTGGGGAGTGAACCAATAGACTAAAGAGCTCTCTCTGACTGCCCCTTCTGACCTTCAAATAAAAACATATTAGCTAATTCTAAAATTCAATATTTTTTTAAAGAAGTACTGGGGCTGGTGTTGTGGCAGTTAGTTAAACTGTAGCCTGCAATGTCAGTTTCCTATACCAGCACAGGTTCAAGGCTCAGATACTTCACTTCCAACCAGGCTCCCTGCCAATGTGCCTGCCTGGTAAAGCAGCAGCAGATGGCCCGAGTACTTGTGCCCCTGTCACCCACGTAGGAGACTCAGATGAAGCTCCTGGCTCTGGCCTGGCCTAGGCCCAGCCCTTACGGCCATTTGGGGAGTGAATCAGCAGATGGAAGGCAAGTCTCTATAACTGCCTGTCAAACAATTTTTTCTTAAAAAAAAAAAAAATTATTTTAAATAATATGGATTTTATATTAACGTATATCTTAAGCTACTATCACAAACCACGCAGTGGTATATTTTACTTAATACTATCTGAAAATAAATATCATCATAATCCAAGAAACTTTCTTATTGAGAATGGAAACAATCAACTGGCTAGCAAAGCCAAGTAGAAACAAAAATTTCCAAACACTTTTTAATGTCATTAAATATGTTGGGATTTTAAATTAGAATGCCATTTGAGGGCCTGGCATGGTAGCCTAGTGGCTAAAGTCCATGCCTTGCAAGCACCCAGAATTCTATATGGGTGCTGGTTCATGTCCTGACTGCTTCACTTCCCATCCAGCTTCCTGCTTGTGGCCTGGAAAAGCAGTCGAGGATGGCCCAAACCCTTGGGACCCTGCACTCACATGGGAGACCTGGAGGAAGAAGCTCATGGCTCCTGGCTTCGGATTTGTTCAGCTCTGACCACAACAGTCACTTGGGGAGTGAGCGGCAGGTAGAAGATCTTTCTATATCTCCTTTTTGACTTTTCAATTACAAATAAACAAATCTTAAAAAAAAAATGAGTTCAATTATATAAGATCAATTTAAAAAAAAAAACATACACAGAAAAACCAGGTAAAAGCTCGTATTTTCTTAAAATTTTTTAAAAAGTAAATTTTTTATTTCTGTTTTTAAAAAAAATTCACAAAGCCAATGTAGAAGACATGCCATAAGCAGGGGAAAAACACACATTGGTCCTATGTAATTTAGCACATGTGTATTTTGATTGTAACTTATTCCTAAAAATCAGGTTGGCTATGTTTACTGCAGGACGAGCAATCCCATCACCAAAACTGGAATACACGAATTTTGTTTGCAGCAATGCAGAGAGAATTGGAAGCCAATAATTTTAGAAGAAAAGATTTTTTTACCCCACCACCAAGAATTCACTTTATTATTAAGACCTCACTGAGAAACAGTTATTCCAGAGTGACTTTTCTTATTTCTACTAACAAATATTTAAACAAGATTTTAATCAGTTACTTGCCATTTTTCAAACTTAAATTAGTCATTTCTTCACCATTTGCTTTAAAGTCATCCCAACATCAAGAGAACATGAAAGCACTGCTACTTATCCTTGTTAATCCCTTTAAGCCACAGGCTCTGGCCCTTATTATTAAAAACTGCATCAACAGCACACCCATGGAAAAGCACAGTGGTTTTTTGTGCTTCAAAATGTGCACACCGTTTTAAGAGCAAGCATTTCCAAAGCAGCATTTAATAGCCACGATAGCTAGGCTAAGCTCTTAACTGGTACCACATACTTGGTTCATGAGAATATTGCTGACTGCCACAAATACTGATTTTAAAAATTAATTTGACATCCCAGATTTTCCAAACTATAGCCTAAAACAACTCCTGGGAGGGTGTGCCGTGTGAACAGTAGGTGCCTAGCAACTGTTTCTCTTTAACTCACAGAGAGCTGAAAGCGTAGGGTTACTCTCATGTACACAAACTCAACAACTCTAAGGCACTAAGGTTCCTTGATCACTGTGCCTTGTTCAAATAATTCCATGAGCTTTCTTTAGTGGAGGACTTGTAACAACTACATTTAAATATCTACCAATTAAGAGCAAAATAGGAAATCAATCATCATAAAGTTCATACAACTGGTTTTTACATAATGCTCAAACTGAGACCTCCAGGAAGCCAAAAAAGGGGAGGGTGGGGAGCAGGAGTAGCAGGCAGGAACTCTGCTTTGGTTAGCCACTCACTGCACTCTCCCATCTTTGATTTTTACAGAATGCAAACACACCAGTGATCCATGGTGCCAATGCTTCAGTTTCAACGGTCTTTCCTGAAACTGCCATGGACTTCTCAAAGGAACCAGAAAAATCTGTCTTACCACTTGCCCAGACACATGAGGAGTGGGCTGCAGCCCTTCCTACCTAGGAAGGTGGGGCCATGTATCATGTAGTAGCAGCAAGTAATCCCTTTTGCCATTCAAATGTGCACTGAATTAATTATAAAAAATGTATCATGTATTATGTTCTGGCCAGGCAATAAGCTTTTTATCACCACAAAGTCTCTGTGTTGGCAAAAACACATTCTGAAAACCTTTTCTGAAAAAGTACCAGAGTGGCGGCTAGCTTTGCAGCACAGCAAATAAAGCTGCTGCCTGAAAAACCAGCATCCTTAGGCCAATGGCAGCTGATGCTCTATCAGCTTCGCTTCTGATCCGCCTTCCTGCTAATGGCCTGGGGAAGACAGCAGACAAGTGTCTGTGCCCCAGGCACCAAGTGAGAGACCAGGATGGGGTTCCTGGCTCCTGGATTCAGCCTGGCCAGCCCTGGAAGACCAGCAAATGGAAATCTAGTAAAATCCAAGGCGAAAGCCAGGCAGTCAGGGTTCTGCAGCCACAGTTCAATTCTGTAATATGTACAAGCTAACAATTTAGCATTTTTAAAGGACTTTAAGAAACAAAATGGTCATATACAATAGGAAATACTTCTAAATCTGAAAATTTTAAATATTATGTGGCCCTTTACAGAAAAAAACCTTACAGAACTGACATAACTGAATGATTTCTTCCTAACCTTTTTGATGTTTTTGTTGTAGGATTCTGAACAAAGCCACAACTTAGAGCACAAGACTAGTTGCTGATAAAATACAAAGATATTTATACATTCTTATTTTGTTGAAGTAATAAAATATATTAAAATAACAAGTAATAAAATATTATGCAGAAATTTTTTAAAAACAGCTACCAAAGCTAGGGCTTCAAAGTTTCACAAAATCTGAGATATAAAATTTATATATTTCATTTTAATCACTATAATTACTTGAAATAGCTCTTTAAAGTCTCCAAACACATTAATATCACATTAACTTGCACAGAGGAAGACACTTAGACTGTTTAAAGGCATATTTCAAAGGAAATCAATCAGTTCATTTAATAAAAAGAAATCAATATAAAACAAATACCTAATAGCAACAGATACCATAAACACACTAAGGATATAAATGTGAGAAATGCTGATCACTAAGAGAGAGACATACTGTCATATTACAACCTTCTGTATTGTTAATTGGATGGCTCACAGAAATGGCTGCAAAGCCAATTCAATTTTCTCTCACACCTTCAAAAAAAATAAGGCCTCAAAACAGTATAAAACAAACAATGTATTTTAAAAGAAAGCCAGAGTAGTTTTCTGTCCTGAAGAGTGGAGGGGAGCGGAGAGCCCTGCAGAGGCCAGCAGGGTCCTGCAGCTACCACCTGGCCGCCTCTAGCCAGAACTCTGGTCCATGGGTCACAGCACCCCATCTGGAGTTCACTAGAAATGCAGAAACCAAAGCACCCAACCCAAACCCACTCACTGGGTTTTAACAAGTCTGGATCTTAACAAGCCTGTTAAACCACATGCACAGTAATGTGTAAGAAATACTGCTCTACTGCAGTTCTTTATATTAGACAATCTGTTTTCCTATCATGTGAAAAACAAACAAAAATATTCACAAGTCTAAAAAACAACTATTAAAAATTATAATAGGGGCCCGGCACTGTGATCTAGCTGCTAAAGTCCTCGCCTTGAATGCGCCCGGGATCCCATATGGGCGCCGGTTCTAGCCCGGCAGCCCCGCTTCCCATCCAGCTCCCTGTGTGTGGCCTGGGAAAGCAGTCGAGAATGGCCCAAAGCCTTGGGACCCTGCACCTGTGTGGGAGACCCAGAAGAAGTTTCTGGATCCCGACTTCGGATCAGTACAGCACCGGTCGTTGTGCTCACTTGGGGAGTGAATCATCGGACAGAAGATCTTCCTCTCTATCTCTCCTCCTCTCTGTATATCTGACATGTAATAAAAATAAATAAATCTTTTAAAAAGTTATAATAAAACTACAAAAAAAAATCACTAGCAGTCTAGGTGGCAGGCTTGCAAATGCTTACAATAAAATTCTTGCTATTTTCAAATCTGAAATTTTCATAAGAAAATATCAGGAGGGTGTGGGCTGCACAAGGATTAGCTGGCTAATCCTCCACCCCGAGCATGCGTCCCATATGGGCGCTGGTTCGTGTCCCGGCTGCTCCATTTCCCATTCGGCTCTCTGCTTGTGGCTTGGGAAGGCAGTCGAGTACGGCTCCCAAGTCCTTGTGACCTTCCACCCATGTGGGAGACCAGGATGAAGCTCCTGGCACCTAGCTTCAGCTCAGCTCAGCTCCAGCCATTACGGCTGTTTGGGAAGTAGACCACAGGATGGAAGACCTTTCTCTCTCTCTCTCTCTCTCTCTCTCTCCTTCTCTCCAAATTTGTCTTTCTAACAAAAATAAATCTTTTTAAAAATCTATCCGGGGGCCGGTGGTATGGTGTAGTGGATTAGACTGCTGCTGGCGATACCACAGTCCTGAACGAGAGGCAGTTCAAGTCCTAGCTGCTCCACTTCCCATCCAGCTGCCTGTGAATGCGTCTGGGAGAGTAGCAGCAGATGGGCCGAGGCCTGGAGCCCTGACCTCGCACTCGGGGGACCCAGACCGAGCTCCCGCTTCCAGCTTCCAGCCAGTTAAGCCCCAGCCACTGCAGCCATCTGGGAGGTGAGCCACCAGACAGAAGATCTCTCTCCATCCCTTCTATTAATGCTGCCTTTCAAATAAATAAATAAGCCTAAAAACAAAAAGTTATAGAAGAAAAATTTATAAATATGTTTTCTGAGTACCTTCTTTTCCAAAGGAAAAGATCAGTAAAAAGACAAAAAACAAATTTCTCCCAAGAATTTTGAACATGGAGATTTGAGTAAAATCTGAATCAATCTGATATAAAGTCTTCACTTTCAACCAAGTGTGAATAAACCTGCCATAAAGACATAGATGTATGATGGATAAACTGTAAAAATGCAATTTTAATTCCAAAACAAAGATCTAAATAGAAATGCATGGTTTAGTGTATCAAACTTATAAAACTAGGACAGGTACTTAACTTTCTACCAGGGAAGTAACTCATAAATATTAGTTGAGTAATTTACTTTTTTAAAACAAACATAGAACACTTCACAAGTTTGCCTGTCCCCACTGCACAAGGACTGTGCTGATCTGTGTACTGTTCCAATTTTAGTATATGTGCTGCCGAAGCAAGCACTACATTTACATCTTATCCTCTCACAACCTTCAACGAACATCTAGAATGTCTGTTTTTATAAATGTAACTATGTAATTTGCTGTTCATCACAAAAATTAAACTCTGCAAAATCAGCTTGATTGAGCTCACAGGTACACTTAATCAGAAAAAGCTCAAAAAGAAAGAAGACCAAAATCCACAGCACATAAATTAACCAAGTTCTTCATATATGCATGGCAATTTGTGTTTCTTCACAGAATGTTCTTTCTAAATTATAAACTATTCAAACAATTATTTCACTATATCTAGAGAAAAAGTTACTTTTAAAATGAGCATCCCTGGAATCACCACTGCCTTCAACGCCATTATGTCAGACAGATGGGCAACGGTTCAAGTCCCAGATGCTCCCCTTCCTACCCAGCTCCCTCCTAACGCACCAAGGGAAGTGAAAGAAGATGCTCCAGGACCGTGGGAGATCTGGATGATCTGGATGAAGCTCCTGGCTCCAGCCTCGCCCACCCCGGGCTTAATACATATATTAAAGGCACTTAAAAAAAATGCAGGCATTACTTTTGTTAGAACAATGCACTAAATGAATAACTGGCACTTTCTGTTTGCTTCATAAATAATTTCTTGCTTCAATGAGAAAAAAATTCCGCTAAAGTAAAATTTCTCCAAATGCAACAAAATTCCATCTAGAAAAAAAACGACATAATACTCTTCATAATACAAACTCAAAACCTGATCCCTGCTGTTTATGGACATGAATGAATGAATCCCGATGCATAGATCAAAGTGAAAAGTACTAGCAGGACAGTACATTCAGAGGCACTGCCTTCTCAAGAAAAGAATCCTGTTTCATATCCTACCTTAACATGCTGGAGAGAAAGACTGAAAAGAACAGTTACATTATCACATATATACACTCCACTAATAGCCTTCCCTTCCATCTTCCTAATGATATCAGATGATCAGTAAAAGATCACGTAGAATATAGATGTGTATTTGTTCAGCTTTACATACCTGTCTTGTCTTTGCAGATGTTTCGATAAAAGGAATCCCATAACTTCTTGCTAAGTCCTGAGCCTGCTTTGTGTCTACTGTTCTAGAAGGCAAATCACATTTATTTCCTACTAGGACCATAGGTACATCTTCAGAGTCTTTAACTCTTTTAATTTGTTCTCTGGGGAAGAAAAAAAAGTTACAGAGGAGCATTAGTACGCAAAAATATCCCCAACGTTTCCCACAACTTTTGCTTTATAAATTTTGTTTCAAAGATGACTTTTAATAAAATTCCTAGCTTCTATCAAACCAAACCGCCCTTGCTCTTCCTCCTGGTCTTGTTTCCCTTCACACTGAACAGCCCTGATGCACGCCTAAAGATCAAGTGCCTAGAAATGTATAGCCAATCTAACCTAACAGCTTAATATTTAGACTGAAAGTGCTATCCCTAATTCAAATAACCATAATCCTAGAAATATACTCCATATGTGATTAAAAGTTTATGTTCAGAATCGAAAACATTCTTACAAACATGAATTATGCCATTAACATAACTTCACATTGTTTTCTCAAAAATGTAAGTGAATGACAGTAAAAAGATTTTTATTTTCATATGGCTAGCACCACTGATTTGGTTAAAAGTTGTGTTAACAATGCTAATTTTCAGTACATGACCTGTATAAACTTATGCATGGGGTAAAATTATATTCCTTCATAATTTTAACTGTGAAAAATTCAAAACCCATGGAGCACAGTAGACAGAGCCAGGATTGGTTCAATTTCCGAATACATTAACATGTCACTTGTTTACCACTCTATAGAAATATTACTGCCACCAGCCACTCAAATGTTTTTTCATCTTCTACTAAACCACAGGGTAAGCATGTTCTAATAAACATCATTAAAGATTAAGCTTCATAAGAAGGCTTCCATGACAGAACTAGGAAGTAGGATATTTAAGTTTTAAAAAAATGGTAAATCCACAGAAATGCAGAATAGATTTTACAGAATAATTTTTAAACTTTTTATGTGAATTTCTCAATTTTAAAAAGATGATATTGCTCTAATTCTCTACTCCTTAAAAATTATTTTTTGGGCCCAGCGTGATGGCGCAAGTGGTTAAAGTCCTTGCCTTGCACGCCCGGGATCCCATATGGGCGCTGGTTCTATCCCGGCAGGCCCGCTTTCCATCCAGCTCCCTGCTTGTGGCCTAGGAGAGCAGTCGAGGACGGCCCAAGGCCTTGGGACTCTGCACCCATGTGGGAGACCTGGAGAAAATTCCTTGCTCCTGGCTTTGGATTGGTGCAGCTCCGGCTGTTGTGGCTGCTTGGGAGTGAATCATAGACTGGGAGATCTTCCTCTCTGTCTCTCCTCCTCTCTTTGCAATAAAAATAAGTAAATCTTTTTTAAAAAATTATTTTTTTAAATGAATAAGGCCATTGTTCAGCCACATACGTTATTCTAAAAACCACGGAATACACTTGTCCCTATCTTCAAGTACGGTTTCCATTTTGTGATGTATCTGCAGAATTCAGGGGGTCCAGTCTGTCTCAGGCATGGTGGTGAGGACAGCAAGTCTGAGGCAGGCAGGTTTAGGTTCGGCTTCCATCCCAGCACCAATACCATCTCTAGAACCTGGAACAAGTGACTTAGCTACTCTAACTTGCAAGAACTTCATTTTATGTAAAATGGGAACTTTCAAAAATATTTTAAAATTCGAATCAGACAGTACAGACACAGTGGTGATCAATACTCAGTACATGAAAGCTATGATTATTCCTGGATGCAAATTTATTACATTCAATTAAACCCACCTATAATGGTGAATATCTTCAAATGATTTAGTATTATTTATGGCAAATACACAAAGAAAGCCCTCCCCAGTTCTCATGTACTGGTCCCTCATCGCACTGTACTCCTCTTGACCTGCTGTGTCGAGAATATCCAAGAGACAGGTTTCTCCATCAATTACTACTTGTTTCCTGTAGGAATCCTGAGAGGGGAGAAACACAGTCTGGATTATTACCACGCACCTTTCACTTATGAAAAGGTGTTTCACAAACTCAACAACAGAAAGACAAAAAAAAAGTAATTAACAAATGGGCAAAAGGCTTGAGTAGAGATTTCATTAAACAGGGTTAAATGGGAAGCAAGCACATGAGAGACAGCTCAACAGTATCAATCAGAAAAACACAAATGAAAGCATTAAGATACCAGATCACATCATTGGCATGGCTACTACTTAAAAAAAATAAAGTAAAATAAAATAAAGACTAGACAAATAACGGAGGTTTGGGCAAGGATGTGGAGAAATCAGAATCCTTGCGATTCACTGCTGGGAACATAAAATGCTGCTGTCCTGGGACGAAGTCTGGCAGCCTGGCAGAAAGGTAAACACTGAACTGCTATACAGTTCATAGAGTCCATTCTTACGTACACAATCAAAGGAAGTGAAGCAAGGACTCAAAGAGATCCGCGAGTACCAATGTCCACACCACCAGTTGCAGCAGCCTGAATGCACAACAGTCTGTGTCTACTGACAGCTCAGCGAACGCAGAAACGGCAGTGCAGATATACAACAGACCATTATTCAGTCATAAAGAAACTGATAAATGCTACTAGACAAACCTCAGAAACATAATGCTAAATACAGTAAGACAGGCGTCACATGACTCCATGTGGGATACCTAGAAACACTCAGAGACAAAAAAAAAAGAATAGAGGTTATCGGAAGAACTGGGGAATTCAATTGAATAGGTACGGGGTTTCAATCTGGGATGAGGGAAAAAGATCTGTGATGGTTCTGCTGACACTGGACTTCACGCCGATGAACTAGACCTGTAAAAATGGCTACAATGCGAAATGTTTTCATGTATATTTCATCACAAAAATTTTTAAAAGGTTCACTCCTTCCAAGAAATTAATTCCAGTGTATATCTTAAAAACAAAAAATGGCCTAAAAAATAATTACGACAAAAAGGGACAGACTTATCAACTCTATTACTTAAAAATGACACAGATAACAAGAGAAAATAAACTTGCCAACAACTGTTATAAATCTATTTTAAGCATTATTATTAGTCAATATCATTCAGTATCTCCACATTTGAAAACATGCGGTCGGTTCCCTAGCAAGAAGACAGAACCCATAACTCTCAAGGCGGAACTCACAGCTGCAAACTGAGAGGTCTCTGCTAGAAAGAAGAGGGGGCCAGCGTTGCCGGCCTAGCAGGGCAAGCCGCGGCCTGTGACACTCACACGCCATACCGGAGCTGGCTCGAGTCCCAGCTGCTCCACTCCTGATCCAGCTCCCCACTAATACATCTGGGAAGGCAGTGGAAGATGGAACAAGTGCTTAGGCCGCATACCACGTGGGAGACTTGATAACCAATTAAAAACACAGAGACCCTACTATGGAGGGTCCATTACTGATGAAGTAAAGAAAATGATCAGGAATTTACAACATTCATTAGTATTATTTCCTGCCTCTTAAAAATAGACACTTAAACACTACGTAATAAAATTTAAGAAGTAACATTGTTCTGCATATTCTTCACTCCCAGAAAATTTTTCAGCTATCTAAATAGTTTTTTTTTTTTTTAAAGATTTATTTTTTATTATTTTTTTTCATTGGAAAGGCGGATATACAGAGAGAGGAGAGACAGAGAGGAAGATCTTCCGTCCGATGATTCACTCCCCAAGTGAGCGCAACGGGCCGATACTATGCCGATCCGAAGCCAGGAGCCTCTTCCGGGTCTCCCACGCGGGTGCAGGTTCCCAAAGCTTTGGGCTGTCCTCGACTGCTTTCCCAGGCCACAGGCAGGGAGCTGGAAGGGAAGCGGGGCTGCCGGGATTAGAACCGGCGCCCATATGGGATCCCGGGCGTGCAAGGCGAGGACCTTTAACCACTTGCGCCACCGCGCCGGGCCCTCTAAATAGTTTTTTAAAAAGTATAAAAGAAATCTACTATCAAGAGTGCAGTACTTGACCCGGTGCGGTAGCCCGGCAGCTAGGGTCCTCGCCTTGCACACGCTGGGATCCCATATGTGCAACGGTTCTTGTCATTCTTGTCCCCTAGCTGGTGACCCCGCTTCCCATCCAGCTCCCTGCCTGTGGCCTGGGAGAGCGGTTGAGGACTGCCCAAAGCCTAGGGACCCTGCACTCGTGTGGGAGACCCAGAAGAGGCTCCAGACGCCTGGCTTTGGATCAGCACAGCTCAAGCTGTTGCAGCTGTTTGGGGAGTAAATCAAAGGACTGGAAATCTTCTCTGTCTCTTCTCCTCTCTGCATGTCTGTTTTCCCAATTCAAAAAAAAAAAGAGAGAGCAGTATAGGCAGAATTCAAACAGTTCTGGTAAAACAAAATGAGCAATCCTTTAGGAAAACAATTACGGACTTATCTGGAACCACAAAATGTTCACAGCCTTTGTTGTAGTAATGCCACTCACTTTGTTACTCTTCCAAAAGATCACTGGGATCCATTACAGAAGGTTGTGTTGCACACTGCTCAATCTAAGATATTCAAAGTTGTTGCAGATGCCAGTTCTCTAAGTCAGCTAGAAACATACATGATAGTCCAGTATGTCATCATCATAACAGGGAAGAAATAAGGAATTTGGGATTTAAACAGAAGTTGGAGAGAATTCACTTCTACCTACCTCCCTCGACCCTCTCTCAGTCTATAAAACAGTCACTGAGAATTTAACTGTCAGATACGATACCAGGCATTACAGTTTCTAACACCAAAGAAATGAGTCTAGCAGAACACGTAGCAGTATGGGCTGATGTCATGGTGCAGTGCGTCCAGCATTCCAAATCGATGCTTGTTGTGACTGGCAGCTCGCCTTCTGATCCACTTCCTGCCAACCTGCCTAGAAAAGCAGCAGGTGGAAAACCTTTCTCTACCTTTTCTCTGTATTTGTCACTCTGCCTTTTAAATATAAATAATCTAAGAAAAATGTGCATCTAAATAAATAACATATAAACCAAAATACAACACTACTTGCAGGAAAAAGTACAGTGGTGGCACACAGCATAGAATACCTTTGCTTCTATGAATTAAAAGAAAGAAGAGAGGAATTCCAGATGGAAGATGGCAAAGAAGATGAAGGGAATGCACAAAATGGCATTCACTACAGAAAATGAGTGGAACCAAGGACTTGCAGCTAAGAGTCACAGGCAATTAGCACAAAGTGAAGCCGGGTCATCAAGCAGAGGGAAGGTCCTGGTAGGCTCCAGGAGTTTGCAATTCAGCTACACTGAGGCACTGAAAGGTTTTCAAGTAAGACGGGTCAGAATTGTCGTGTTCAGTTTGCATTACAATGACACATGAGGGGCAAGCGACAAGACACGGCCCATTCACACCCACCCAGAGGCACAGGTCACCGGGCAGAGCACAGACTTTTGATTCCTTACGTGTAAAAGCGATAAAGATTAGGCTGGTGCTATGGCACAGCAGGTAAGGCAGGCTGGGTTGGAATCACAGAGGCACCACAGACAAAGCCAGCATCCTATATGGACACCAGCCTTAGTCCCACCTATCTCACTTCTAATCTAGTTTCCTGCTAACATGTCCAGGACAGCAGTGGAAGACGGCCCAAGTTCTAGGGTTCCCATCCATGTGAGAGACCAGGATGAAACTTTGGCTTAGCCCAACCTTGGCCACTGCAGCCTGCTGAGAGTGAACAAAAGATGGAAGATCTCCTTCTTTGACTCTCCCTATAACTATGCCTTCCAAATCAACAAAATACATCTATAACAGGAAAAACAAAAACAAAACCAAACAAAAAAACGGCAGGCACAGCACAGTAGCCTAGTGGCTAAAGACCTCACCTTGTATGAGTCAGGATCCCATATGGACACCAGTTCCTATCCCGACTGCTCCATTTTCCTTCCAGCTCCCTGCCTTTGGCCTGGGAAAGCAGGGCAGGATGGCCCGAAGCCTTGGGACCCTGCACCTGTGTGGGAGACTTCTTCCAGAGGTCCAGAAGAAGCTCATGGCTTTGAATTGGATCAACTGTGGCCCTTGTGGCTACTTGGAGAGTGAACCAGTGGATGGAAGCTCTTTCTCTGTCTCTTCTCTCTGTAAATCTGCCTTTCCAGTAAAAATGAACAAATCTTTAAAAAAAAAATTTAAAGGCAAATGGAAGAAAAAATAGAAAGGCTTGAGGGAATGAAGAAAGAATATAAGCTACTATGGGCCAAAAAGGTGGGACATAATCAAATGGTTATTACAATCTACATAAAGTGTATTTAATCCTTAGATTACTGCCTACTTACAGATGGAATAATTTTTGCAGTAATGGTCACTGTGTTTCTAAATAAATATAAGGAAGCTGGACAAGTTCCAGAAAAAGAGAGCTAAAACTGTTGTTACAAAAGATTTCTGTTCTTATTAGGGAGCAAAGGGGTTATAGGGACTTACTCTCATGACAGAATTTTCAATTAAAAATTAAAACATGAATTAAAAATAGTAAAGGGCATAACGCAGTAGCATAGTGACTAAAGTCCTCGCCTTGAACGTGCAGGATCCCATATGGGCGCCAGTTTTAATCCTGGCATCCCCGCTTCCCATCCAGCTCCTTGCTTGTGGCCCAGGAAAGCAGTCAAGGACGGCCCAAAGCCTTGGGACCCTGCACCCATGTGGGAGACCCGGAAGTGGCTTCTGGTTCCTGGCTTCAGATAGGTGCAGCTCCAGTAGTTGTGGCCACTTGGAGAGCAAATCAACGTCCAAGAGATCTTCCTCTCAGTCTCTCCTCCTCTCAGTATATCTGACTTTCTGATAAAAATAAAATAAATCTTTAAAAAAAAAAAAAAGAATTACAAAGAAAGAAAGAGAGACAGAAGCCGTCAGAGAGAGCACTCCTATCCAGGGGTTCACTTCCCAAACGGCCACAATGGCCCGATTTGGGCCCATCGAAGACAGGAGCCAAGAGCTTCTTTGGGCTTTCCCAGTGGTGAAGGGGCTTGGCCGGCAAATCCTCAACACCAGCCCT